GCCCTTGCACTTGCCAGAGAAGTGCTTATTCCACTGAGCCATCTCCCCGGCCCCTAAACTGTTTTTAAAAAGGCCACAGTTGACATATACCTCAACATCAACTGCCTAGCACACAAAACTTAAATTATGGTCATTTTTCCAAGATGATGTTTCTAATCAAAACACAAATTATAAGTTTTAAGTCCTTGTCAGCATGATTCAATGAAATGAAACCAAGTATAGACAAATCAGCTTAAACAGCTCAGTTTGCCTTAAAAAGAAAAACAATGTATAATAGCCATTCAAAAAAAGGACAAAACATACTCAGCCATCCTGGGTATCTTCAGATTCAAACAACCATTGACTGAAAATATTCAGGAAAAATTTGCATTTGTGTTGAACACAGACTTTTTCCTTGCCACACTTGGAACAGAGTGTAATAACTATATTGTATTTACAATATATTAGATGTTATAAGCAGTAATCTAGAAATGATTTAAAGTGTACACGCAGATATGTATAATTTATATGCAAATACTATACCATTTTATATAAGGAATTTGGGCATCCAAAGACTTTGGTATGGGGGCATTAGGGTCTGGAAGCCAATCCTGCCATGGATACTGAGAGATGGCTGTACTTCCTCCTTTATGGGTCATAACTGAGCTGTGACTGCTATAAGGTGAACTTCTTACCAGTTGGTTTGAAGTTTCTGGATCATGATCTACACTCTCTTATTATTATCTCTTTGTTCTTTTGTCTTTTTGAGTCTCGCTGTTCAGGTCAGGCTGGCCTTGAGCTCAATTTGTAGCCCAGGCTGGTCTCAAAACTCACAACGATTCTCCTGCCTCAGCCTCCCAAGTGCGGGAATTACAAGCATGTACCACCATGCCTGGTCTGTATTCTCTTATTATATAGCAAACTTCAATCTGATTTTATTTTTGACAAAACAAAAATTGTTTTCCCCTGGCTGTCTGCCCATGGGCCCATAGTGACCCCATTTCAAGTAAACAGATTAAAACACCACTGCAGGGAAGGGGTCAATAAACGTTCTTCAAAGGATCAAATAGCAAATATATAGCACACTTCATAGGATTTAAAGTCTTTGTCACAGCTCTTTGGACCTGCCACAGAAACACAACCGCAAGCACAGGCAACACAGAATTAGCATGGCTATGTGCCAACAAAACCTTACTCGCCAAAGACATAAGGTTGAACTTGGCCCCCAAACAGTAGTTTGTCAGCCCTACTCTAGGAGATGGCAGTGCAGCAAAAATGAAGGAACCTTGAAGCTAGATAAAGAAGTGCACAAGACCTATCCACCACATAAATTGCTTAACACCATTATATGAGGGAAAAGTCATCTCCCATCTTGTTTGAAGCCTTGTCTGTTTTGTGTTTCTTTTTTATAGCTTAGCCTATACCTTAAAGAACAGAGTGAGAACCTTAAAAACTAAAAGGGCCAGCTGTTCATGGTAGTACATGCTTATAATCCCAGCACTCTAGAGGGCTGAGACAGGGGGATTGCCAAGTTGAAGCTACAACTTAGTGACACCCTATCATAAAATATGAAGATTAAAAAGGGGCTATGCATGTAGAACGGTGCAAAGGACCAAGGTTCAATCCCTAGCACATCAAAGAAAGAAAAGCAAAGAAAATGAAAAACAAAGGGCCAACCGGGAAGAGTGCAGAAGAAAAATGGGTTAAGGCTGGAACTTTGGATTGGAGAATAGAAAGATTTAAGGTATACACAGAAAAAAAGAAGCCCACAACTGAAACTAAGGAGTATGAAACACAGCAAAAAGATCAAATTGAAAGAACTTGAAGCAGGAGAAATTAGTCAAAACAAGTTGAGAACTAAAACATCTACTTGGGGGCTGGCGAGATGGCTCAGTGGTCTAAAGCACCTACTTAGAACAAGCTAAGCTAAGCAAAGCACAGGGACCGCGGTTCAATCCCCCAGCACCACATGCCAGCCAGCCCCGCCCCCTGGTGGGCTGAGCTGGCCACACACACAAAATAAATAAATAAAAACTTAAAACATCTACTTGGTCAGGCCTGGTGGTGCATACCTGTAATCCCACCACTGGAGGCTGAGGCAGGAGGATTGCTGCAAGTTCAAGCCCAGCCTGGGCTACATAGTGAGTTCAAGGCCAACCTGAATGACATAGTGAGACCCTGTCTCAAAATAAAAATAAATAATGTAAAATAAAATAAAACGTCCACTGGATTTAAGTATTGTGGCCATAGCTGCAACCCGAGAGAAGAGTCATTTCAAACAAAGAGCAGGCATGATTACAGCAGGTTGTGTAGAGAGTTGAAGATGAGCAATATTCTTTCTGTGAAATCCAGATAAGGAAAAAAAGAGACAGGTAGTGTTCTGAGGAGGTCAGGAGAATGTATTTTAGGATAGACAGACCTTAACACATCTATCATTTGAGGGGAACTAACTAGAAGAAAGGAAGAGGCTGCAGATAAGAAAGAAAGAGGAGTGGCCGGGGAGATGGCCCAGTAGAATAAGCACTTGCCTGGCAAGCACAAGGGCCTGAGTTCAATCCCTGGTTCCACAAAAAAAGAGGATAAATGATAAGGAAAGGTGGATAATGAAACAGCAATGAATAGAGCAGAATAAAGCCAAGGCTTCAAGCTGGATCATATCAAAATCACCTAGAGTGCCTGTCAAAACACACACTGCTGGGCCCCATCTCACCCATTATGATTTTATAAGCCTGGGATACCTGAGAACATGTCCCCAACTAATGTTGCCCCAGGTCTAAAGAAATATATCTTGAGAATCACTACAGTAGAGAAAGGGCACAGACAAGCATAAATATAAATAAATTTATAGATGGAGAGTGGAAAAGACAAAGTTGAGAGGTAGGGGAATCTAGGAAGTAGGGTTATCTGCTCAAACAGCAACAACATAAAAGAAATCCTTACAGATGCCCTTGAAGATAGGAAAAAGAGCTCCTTAAGGATAAGTTAAAGGACCATACAGCCTAATGTTGAGATGGAGCCTCACTGTGTAGCAGGTTGATCTCAAACTCAACCTCAGCCTCCCCAGTGCTAGAAGCATAGGCTTGTGACGCCACACCTATCTTCTGAACAGCCCAACTGTTTTTATACATCAGATTGGCACAGTCCCTATCTAAAATTGTGACTTTCCTTCGGCTCAGCATCTCTTGGTCCTACACTATGGTACAAGAAAGGAAAAGTAGATTGTAGCACTCATCAATGCTTGTAATTTTGTCAGAGAGGTCAGAGGGACAAGAAATTGAAATGAACCATTTAGGTGACTAAGTCTAGGGTCCAAATGGCTAAGAAAGAAGTTTCAGGGAGATAAATATTCTTTTTCTTGAAAAGCACATTCTAACAAATACAAAACTTCAAATATACTAGTTTTAGCATACAGTCAATTTGATTCAAAAATACTTGTTCTGTACATCCAAAGTAGATATAAAAGCTCCATAGAGTTTGAAGTCAAAAATATTATTGTTCACGTCTTCTATCTGTGAACCATCACTGGTTTCTCCCATGTGTACTGCTTTTTAACACTTTTTTAAGTTCTCAAAACTGAATTGCAGATCTCTTCTTCAAAAACCTAGCTACTTCTAGTTTCATCAGCTCTGAAATAAAGCAGATGTCTTCTTTGTTTTTTCTCTTGTTTCCCTCAAAACAATTCCTAAAATCTTAAGATTCTCTCACATATTTTAGTCATATGTTTAGTTTTTAAATGTTAATAAATAATACAATTTTATGGATAAAGTACGGTGAATATTCATACTAGGTGTTTCATTCTATGATTTGATAAAAGAGAAATTCAATTATATTTTTAACAAATGAAGATGAATAACCCATAGTGTTCTCATTCCAAATTCAGAATATTCCAACAAAGGCCAAAAGGTATCATTTGAAAAACAAGATCTCACTTTTCATACAAATACGGATAAGACAAGAGAGAGAGGCAGTACAGATTTAAGGTAACTCAGTTATTAAAGCAGACTACTCCCCAAAACTGTATTTCATTTTATTTCTTCTTTGATAATACCCCAGGTTACACTTCAGGCCAGGATGTTGTTGCATATTTTTTTTCCTGGAACCCGGGATTGAACTCAGGCCTTTGTGCTTGCCAGGCAAGCGCTTATTCTGCTGAGCTATCTCCCCAGCCCCTGTTATTGTATATAAAGATTTGGAATGGGTAAGAGATATGCCTTTCTTTAATAAAACGGAAAAGAATTATTAGAAATGCAGATTCATTCTCAGGGCAGTTTTAGGAATGAATTCATATGAAACTATGGGATCTAGAAACTAATGCCTTTAAACCTGCACAGCACTTAAAAATAACCTATAGAAGTTTTCATACCCCAATTTGAAAACCAGTGAATTAATGGATATCAAAGTTTTTATTGACCACTTGCTACCAAATACAATGTTAGTCAGCTTACAGAATATCTCTGGTTCTTAACAACTCTATGCTATAAAAACTTCATTATCTTCATTTTACAAATGAGGAAATTAAATAAGGCTTGATGCAATTAAGTGATTTACTCAAGATTTTATAGCTGACAATGGACAGAGTGGAAATCTAAACCCCAATCTAACTTAAGGCGTGTACTCTTCTTAAATCACGCTGCAGACATCTCTCTTACCTTTAGAACATCAGTGGGGTTGGCTATAGTGGAAGATATCACTCCTGACACTACCCCACAGATCATATTAATTAGAAGAGTTTCATCTGTAAAAAGGATAGAAAAGTTCTGTTTTTTATTAGGCACTACTTCTGAGAACAGAGAGTTGAGCTATGGGAGGAAGAGAAAACCGTGGTCAGAAATAGGATTTCAGAGATAAACCACAAAGCTTCTGAAAGGAAGAAAGTAAAGAAACCCAAACATTTCTGGATCACAAATCTGTATCAAATGTACAAAAAAATCGTTATTTCTAAAACAAGTAACTATTTCTAAAAGGCACAGGAACATGTCCTATGCTTCTGCACAACAATCAGTACTCCACATGAATACAGAATGTGACATTTCCCCTTCACCCACTTCAAATACCCATATATTTTTAAGTCTTCTAATGGATAGTCATCTACTCTAAAAATTCAGCAACTGAATGTTAAAAGATAAAATCCCATGTTTAATAGAAAATATTAATATCTAAGTATTAACTTTGAATGGCATTAGAGATCTTCTAGCCTTTATTTATTTATAGAAGGCTACTATAGTCAACTGTGAAAATGCAGTGATTTATTTGTTTATTTACACAATTCTAGAGACTGAACCCAGGGCCTTGACATATTAAGCAAGATTAGAGACTCTGATCTACCCTCGTTCCAGAAAGCAATCATTTAGAACCAATTCCACCAGCTAGAAGAAAGAACACAGAAACTACAGAGTATACTGTTCTACAAGAAAAATTCAACCTTCACTATTCCTCCCCACCATGAAGAACCAACACATGCAAACTAAGTAAGCTCAAGTTAAACAGAAATTCTTTTAGGAAGAGGTGGAAGAGAAACCTTCAGTATATCCAAAGAGGCTACAGAAAAGCTGACTCAGGACGATAATGTAATTCAAAGGACACTGATAACCAAAAGGCTCTCCAGATGTTCCCAACCATCCCCAAGGCCTGTTGTAAAATAACCATTTGGTACATATCAAGCTGAAAATACTGCAGCATCAAATACACATATGATAATGCTAAATGTGGGTGAGTTGGCCATAGGTACATCAGAATCCAGAACTTAATAGCCTGAAATTAATCTACGTAACAAACACAAAATTGGCAGCTAGAAAATGACTTATCCTTCAAAATGACTTATTGGTGAGGATAACATTAATTTTCTGGACATTATTATTCTATGCTTCCTCTGGGATGATCAGAAACCGTTTTTTCCCCAATGTTACTGAGGATTAAACTTGGACCGAGTGATATACCCAGTCATTTTTTTTTTTTAATTTTAAGATGGGGTCTCATTAAGTTACTAAATTCCTCAGACTGGGCTTGAATTTTTAATCCTCCCACTTCTCAGCCTCCCAGAGTGCTGGGATTACAGGCATGCAGCAACACACTGGGTAGAAACTCTTTTTATTGACATGAAAAGGGTAAACTGGAAGAACAGATCACAGTAACTCATAAATCATCTCTGCAAGGATTTGTCCCCAGTAAGTACAAGCTCACTTTGTCCTTGCAGTGACTATCCTCCATTCTGCAGGCATCACTTTTGAGGCACAATTCCAATAATCCCTTTGAGGATCAGAGTAAAAGAGAAGTGAGTATACTGACCTTCTAAACGTTCTACAAATAACCGTTTCAAGCTTTGGTAAATCCCAATTTTAATGGTGCCATAAGATGCCTGTCTTAGTAAAGCCGGAGCAATACTGCCCAAAAAAAGAAAAAGAAAACAGTTTTACTAAAGGTATATTTGCACATTATACATATCTGAGCAGCCTACTCATTTCTATTACTCATCTTATTCCACCCAATAACAGCAGAATACGCTTTTTTTTTTTTTTTTGGCGGAACCAGGGATTGAACTCAGGCCCTTATGCTGGCCAGACAAGCACTTATTCTATTGAGCTATCTCCCTGGACCCTAGAATATGCATTTTTAAAGCTCCCACAAAACATTGACTAAAATGGCACATACCCTAGCTCATGAAACATACCTCAACAAATTTATATGAATTGAATTCAGACTGTATTCTCTAATCATAATAGAATCAAACTAGAAATAAGGGAAAGTGAACAAACATTCGAAAATTGAATAAAACATTTATGAAACATCTATTGGTTAGAAAAGATCTCAAATGAAAGTTTAAAGACATATAAATCTAAGTGAAAATTAAAATTCAATCTATGAAAACATATAGGATGCAGCCAAAGGAGTGCGGAGGGAACTTGACAAAAAATGCTTCATTAGTAACAAAACAAAGTCTCAAATCAATAATCCAAGTTCCTACCTCAAGAAACTAGAAAAGGAAGAGGAAAATAAACCCAAAGATTAGAGAAGAAAATAAAAAGAACACAAATCAATAAATCAAAAGTAAAAACCTATGAAACAAAAAGTTGGCTCTCTGGAAAAAAAATGAATAAAACTGATAAACCTCTCGCAAGACTCACAATGATGAAAAAGATGAATGATACAGATCTCCAATGTCTGGAAATGGAAGAGGGCTACAAATCCTGCAGCAATTAAAAGTATAAGGGAATAGCATAAATAACTTGATGTTCATAAAGTGAACTTAGAAGAAATGCCTTTTGTCTTGTTTTGTTTGTTTGTCTTGAAACAGACTTGATATGTGGGCCAGACTGGCCTTTGCAGTGATCCTACCGCCTCAGCCTCCTGAGTGTTGGGATTGCAAACATGTGTCACCACATCCTGCCAAAGTGCTTTGGGTTTTGTTGCTGTTGATCTTTTTTTTTTCATAATTTTATTGATAAACAAATAGCAATGAGACAGTTTCAAATCAAATTGTTGCTGTTGATCTTATGGGGTTTTTTGTTGTTTGTTTTGCCACTACTAAGGATTGAACCTAGGGCCTTGCACATATAGACAAAGCACTCTGCCAATGAGCTGGACTAATGCCTTGAAAATCACAAACTACCAGATAAAATAGATAACCTAAATAAATAATCTGAGTAAATCTCATAATTACTGCAATGGACTAAATGTATCTGCCGCCCACAAAAGTCACAAGTGGAACTCTAACCCCAAGCCAGAGTATTAGGAATCAGGCGCTTTGAGATGTAATTAGGTTGCCAGAGTGAACCAATGGGATTAGTATCCTTACAGAAAGGATCCCAGAGATTTCTCACTCTTTCTGCCCCTGAAGATACAAGAAGTTAGCAGTGTGTAATCCTAAACAAGGAACTCCCCGGGACCCCACCCAGTATACAGCACTTTTTATAGTGGCCAAAGTGAGACAACATTTACGAATTCAAATTCATAATTTAACAGTTCCTAAAAAAAGCAATCTTCAGGCCCAGACAACTTTCCTGAGGAGTTCTACCAAACATTTAAACAATTAACAACAATCTTATACATTTTTTCCAGAAAACAGAAGTAGGAATGCTTCTTAACTAATTTTTGGCTAATATGACCCTAATACCAAAACAAGGCAAAAATGGTAGGAAAAAGAAATGCTTCAGGAGGCCAGGCATGGTGGCACATGCCTGTAGTTCCAGCACTCTGGGAGGCTGAGACAAGAGGATCACAAACTCAAGTCCAGCCTGGCAGGACCCTTTTTCAGAATTAAAATTAAAAACAACAAAGGATGTAGCTCATTGCAAAGGCTCTGGGCTCAATCTCCACTTTGACAGAAAAGGAAAAAAAAAACCTACACGCAAAAATCTTTAGGAAACTATTAACAAATTGAATCCAGCAACATACAAAAAGAATTATATACTATTACCCACATCACTGATTTTTTAAACAACCTCTATGCCTAACAGCTGTAGATATATCATTACTCTTATTAACAAGGAGGTACTAGAGCCAAGATCTCAATCTATTTAAATTCAGCTCATAAATCGGAAACATTCTCACTCATACCTCCTTTGAGATTCTTCTTGCAAATTGAACTATACAGAAAGTATGAATAGAAAGAAAGCAACAGATTAAATGGTTATGATTGAAAAATGACACCTACATATGCATATTTCCTACTTTATTGCTTGCTATAAAAAATTCTTGTGATTATCCATGCTAATGAAGAACAAGGTAAAACAGATAATCTATGAATCATTTGCTTCAGGATGATGACTTAATGCTTTTCTCCAAGAAAATTATCTTTTGGGGCTGGTGAGATGGCTCAGTGGTCTAAAGCACCAACTTAGAAAAAGCTTAGCAAAGCACAGGGACTGCGGTTCAATCCCCCAGCACCACATGTCAGCCAGCCTCTGCCCCCTGGTGGGCTGAGCTGGCCACACACACACACACACACACACACACACACAAATAAATAAAATGAAAAAAAAAGAAAATTATCTTTTAAATACAACTAATACAGGTTAATGATAAAAATGACTTCCATTCTCTGAGCAAAAAAAGAATACAGCTTAGATTTAGAATGGCCTAGGAAACTGGAAGAAGATAAACCAAGAGAAAGCCTTCGATGCAATGATACATCCATTTATTTATTTGTGGTACAGGGGATTGAACTCGGGACCTTGTACTTGCCAGGCAGGCACTTATGCCGCTGAGCTACATCCCCACCTCATTTACAGCTATTTAAACACAAAATCTAAAGCTTATAATCAAGCAAAATAAAATTGGCACATCAACACAGAATTACATGTTGCCATGGTGACTCTAAAGGGACAAACTATTACACAGGTGAAATATTCTCTTTTAAAAGCTTTACTGTTCATTATATAAGAAAAAAATCCAGTCTTACCCTGAATATAGAGCCAATATACCTTCTTCTTTATAGATTCGGAACAAGGCATGGAACATTCCTCTATATTTTATCTCTTTGAAGCGAACATCAATGCTTTGGCCTTGTACTTGAAGTCGTGTTTTGGTAAGGTCCACAGGAAAAGTTCCTATAAAGGAACACACTCACTTCTAAGTATCTCTCAAGAGTCACGGTTGATGATCTCTACCACCACCAGAGAACTAGAGTTGTATATTGTAAAGTGAAATGTAATACACTGTACATAGACAGCACAATTTGGCCCATCCTATATTTGACAATATATGATGATTCTATTGACGCTTTAAGATGATTCTAGCACACTATAAATGCAAAGTAATTTAAATGTTTTAATTTCATCTATAACATTCATTACGACATTTTATCAGTCTCTTGCTCGCATCCCTTAATTCTTCACATCTTTCCTCTTAAAATGTCCTCAAATTTTGGCAAACACAGGAAATCATAGGCTTGTTACTCCAGATGCTCTCATATACTACTAAAACATTTGTGGAATTTTTATCCAATTTTAAAAAATAAACAAAAGATAATGATAATACACTATTTGGTTCTAGTAGTCCTGATTCCTTAGAGAATTTAGTTCTAACAGTAACAAAATGCTTGGGGGATAAAAATTCCTTAACCAAACAACTTTTTTCTTAAAAGTAGTTATTACACTGATAAAATATATTCCAAGGAATATACATAGGTCTAAAGCTAACAAGCCAATTACATAGTTCTGGTCATTTGTTACCTAGATAGAAGAATACCAGAGGATATGTCAAGAGAGGAAACAAAGTTTGGTAGACTGTAGTCATTTATGACTCATTTAAGAAAGGCCATCTGGAAGATGAAAAAATTACATTCTAAAAATGTTTTAAAATTAAAATCAAATAGAGAAGAATCTTATTAAATTTTGTTAGTTTTCTTCTATTACATGACAGAAGCTTAAAAAAGAAGTGTACATACTTACTAACAGAATTACAAAGCAACAGCATAAAATAAAGTCTATTTGTACAAGAATACAGGAGAATCCCCTATTAGATCCAACTGCTACTATATTTTTACATACATTACTTAAACCTAGCAAATTAACAAATCACTAAACCAGCAAAACAGATTCCAAAGTTGGACCGATGGTTTTCTTAACTTCATTTACCGTACAACGATTCTTTCTCAGAAATATTATTTGATATCTTTAAGACAATAATTTTTAAAACAAAGAATGAAAGCTTATTGTTTTTCTCTAATCTTCACCAAAAATAACTGCACCTTATACCATCAGTATCATCAAGTGTGGACCTGATCATTTTCTTCACATTCTTACCAAACTCAGCAACAATAGAGGCAAGGCCGCCATAGACAAAGGGTTTCCAATTCAGACCAGACATCTCATGGCTTACAGTGGCACTTTTCTGGTGCTGAAAATAAACACAAATAAGAACAAGATACAAAAGTGAGGAGCATCTGTTAGCATTTGAGCATGTCATTTAGATCAATAAACTTGACAAACAGGTACAGGGAAAATTCCACAAGTGGAATGACACAAATGGGATCCTGTTTTAATGTGCTGGGAGATCACAAATGTGCTTTACTACCATTCCCTAGGGGTATGTGTATGATTCATTCAAAGATCAACCTGTGCCTTTCATTCTTTACAGTTTCTTCAACGTTTTTCACTCAACCCCACCCAAAGGAGACTTCACTCCAACCAGCACATTCAACTTAGAATACAATTAGACAATTACAAGGGAAGGAACCCAGAATTCAAATTCTTTAGGCTGAGGCATCTCATAAAAGCAGTTCATCCAGTGAAGCAGAAGACCCAATACTATTATGAACTACTGGACTCTTTTAGAATATTTTGCTGAGTTAACACACCTATAATATTAAAATAACAGAACTAAACAAAAAAAGGAGATACAGATGAATGTCCATTTTGTATCTGTGTATGCAAAGTGGTTAGAATAGATATATAGTTACATTCTCTTAATGAATAGAGGGATTTGTT